TTAACTTTTGTGAATTGGTTCTATTTTGGGCATTCTAGGTAGTGCCCCGGAACGAAATATGTCTGGTACTCTGAGTACTGGGAATTCCCTAGTTTGTGACCAAGTAATTGGTGTAATTTTCTGACATCGCTTTTAGTTACATCATGTTAAATTCGTTTTTAATGCCGACACGTTGTCTCTTTCTCACATGTTGTAAATGTGGTATGAGCGAAAGAGAAATAATGAGTGACCACTTTTTTAAAGTAAATGGAATTGCTCTTGACCACTACCTAGCCCTGGAGCAAAGGACCTGCGATCGAACGAACTCGCACAGAAGATGCCTATTCAGTCACAACTTTAAAGGTACTCGGCTTAGAATAATAACGCATAGAATGATAGTTTCATATCAAACGAACTGTCACAAGTGAGGCAAAAATCAAATTCATGTAGGCTAGTTTTAGTAGTAGGTTAATTTTCGGTTTTAGTGAATATTTATATAAAAATACAAGTTGAAACGCGTTACTTCCTTGTGGAATGTGATATTAGTATCTATTTTATGTTTGTCTGATGTATTGTTACACTCATTTACCGCACATTTCGTCACAGCTAAAAGTCGTTTACAGCTAAAATTCTTGAGCTGTTCGCGGTGCAAGTTGACCTTGAGCACCGAAGGCCCGCCCGCTCGTGTAGGCCCACAAGGAGCGCTTCAATTTGCCTCATTTAGCGTGTGCGGGCTAGGTTTCTATGCGTTATTATTCTAAGGTACTCGGGTTATATGTGCTCGGAAACACAGTCGCAGGCAGGGAATCCCGTTCTTAGGCTGTGAGCGTAATAAAAGTTGACGAAAAGCGCTTAGTACGCTTGAACCGACCAAAATGTTTATATGACATCCCGCCGTCTGATATCCGATGGTACATGTCTGATGGAGCTGATGAAGCTGAACCGCATCGCTGCCATTTGAATATAATTATGTCCTTAATCGTGAAGTCTACGGGTCATCGTAGGTAAGGTAATATTGAAAAAGAAAATCAATTTGATTTCTTTTTAAAAATCGAGTACAAAAGAAACTACGCCAAGTTGTGCGACGTTTTCGTATCTCCGTGAGGTGTACTATTAATTAATGAGAATATAAGCTGAACGTTACCCTGGATTACAGTCACGTAAAATATTCGAAAACTTCCGCGTTTTAAATTTTAAAAGATTGAATACAATACACTTAGGCTCAATTTATATTGCGGCGGAACGAAATGGAAGCCAATGTTTGTGACGATATTGTACATAGCATAATGAACTTTATGGTCAATTGTGTAACGTAAAAACAGCAGCTGCCGTCGGCGACGCCTGGCGAATGCACGGGAAATGTGACGTCTAACGTCAACGAAATACTATAGCCTCAAGCCGCGTTCCATTACATTACATTCCGTTCCGCGGTAATATAAATTGAGCCTTAGGCTTAATAAGTCTGTCGGTGTGTTCGACAAGAACACTGCTACGCCGCCGTTAACCGAGGCCTGTACGATATCGACAAGTAGGCAGAACATTCTCCAAAAATTTTTATTTGTTATTTAGGTTGACTGTGACAAACCCGAGCCCCGAAATTGCTGATTTTTTTGGAATCACTGGTCATTGTGATTCCACTGAAACTCCACAATAATGATAAAAATTGTTTTTCTGCTAAAATCCAGTTACAATGGCGGTAGAGTGCCAGTGAAATGGCAGTGAGGGCGTTCAATCACTAATGACCGATGTTGCTTTACCTTTATTTTTATCTCATTTAATGAACAATTTACTCATCAAATGAAATACTACATTGCCGCGCCATTGAAGAGCAGAAATTGCAATAGCAGTTGAAATGAATATTTATTATGTATATTTACAAAGAGCAACTCCTAGAGTTTCTTGCTCCTTCTTCTCAGGGGATACTGCCTTACGAATGAGCAGTACAGTTTAATCAGTATGACGAATTCAAGTGTAATTTGCTTTCTTAGCCACTAACTTTATTTCTCTCTTAACTTTATTTTCGTAGCAGCAGAGCTTGTGAAAGAGTTCGTTCTGGGAATTACTGCCTTAATTATTTCTGCCGCCAAACAGCAATGTGAGCATTACAGCGTTGCGGTTTCTGCTGGTGAAGCTATAGGCACATGGGACTTGCCATATTACGTCTCTATGAACTTAAGATCTTTGCGATTTAAAGCTTTGAGTGGCAATGTACCACCACCAGCGGCATGACTAGTGTGTCCCGTCACTTGGTATTATTAATAAAAACTTTTAGCAGAACACCAAACATTCAAAATCCTGGCACTGACACTCTATAGACATTCAACTGAGATGATTTAATATTAGTGATTTGGAGCTCAGGCCTGCGGCTGCAGTAGTGGTGTAAATACACCGAAAGAACTCATTAAGGCATAAGGGGTCAGCGGCATCCACAATATTCAAAATACAAAAATATAAAAAGGGTTCACGAAACGTAAATACGTAATAGTACCTATCAAATATACAGCCATTTTTCTATAAATGATAAATATATTTAGCTATTATCTAATTTATTGGATCAATCTAGATTTTTACCGATAGGCCGTAGAATTTTGAAAATCTAGAAAATTTGCTACACACATTTTTTTTGTCTATGACAAACATACGACGACTATAGCATGCAACTATCGTATTGGCGAAACTTCATCTCTAGTTTCGACAAATTACAGTGAAAATTCACGGTCACTAATCAAAGTATAAAAACTGTCTATGTTCTTTATTGCAAGTTGAAACACGACATAAGCAAGATCTCACTGTAAGAGACCACATAAATGTGAAAAAGGGGCCAAGTTCTCCGGTTAATAGCTGAGCTCGCAAAAGTATTGAAATGATAGGATCAAAAGTATCCTAATAGCGTTTGCGCACTTCGTACGAGGGGTCTACTCTCGATTTACGTCCGACATCCGTCTGAAACAATTACTGCCAAATAAGCAATACTTGACCAAATGAAAAGATGCGAATGAAGCTTCATACTGGATACCTGTCTTTTAATTTTGTCGAATATTACTTATTTGACAGTAATTGTTTCGGACGGATGTCGGACGGAGATCGAGAGTAGCTCCCAGTTCCGAATCCGAGAAATGATGGTCCTAAATGCCAAAGGGATGATTTTTCTCCCTAGATGTACAAGCGATATTCGTATATACACTTAGTACACAAGCGATATCGGAAGTGGGTCCGAGTTTTCTAGATTTGTAGTCTCGGATGTGGAACGAATACGATATCGAAATTTTAAACTTGGCCGTGCGTTTAGATAGTTTCAAGATATAATAAGACAAGTATACAAAAATAGCAGCGGGGCTTGTATGGACGCACACATTCGCATAATCTCGCGATGCAATCGCGTTACATAGCGCTGATCGTTCCACGCGCTTTTCTTTATCATGCGAATGTGTGCCTCCACGGCGCGTGGCGGGCGTGCACACACAAACACATACAAGCTACGCTGCTCCGTTTTTATGGAGTTACCATACTAATCTTATTTCAGGAGGAATTGAGAGAGTTCATTTACGTAAAGTATGAACGTTTTCTTGGTATGGACTTACCCATTTCGTCATCAATGCGTATAACATTTCTTTTTTACTGTTTTTTTAAATGACTAAAGTATTTTTAAATATTTAAGAACCTATAGAAACACAACTACAATATTATTTTTTGAGACAATAATTTGTAGCAAATACTTAATAGAAAATAATATTTGTCGCCTATGTACTCAAATTTAAATAAATAACACGCAAATTCAAATATAATCAGTTCCGAGAAATCTGGGGATTCGTTAAAGGGAATGTCCTCATTATTCTTTAGATTAGATAAATCAACTTCCTCAATTCCGATCAATGCTTATTATTCTGTGGTTTCAATTTTGATAAATAACATATGACAGTTTCTATCCACCAGAGTGTGACTTTCCGTGCAAATATCTCATTTCCGGATTGTATAAAAATTCATAAGATTGCTTTTGTCACAATTTCATACAGGACCTTTAATTGGCACATTAGTACATTCTGTGTGACCAGCACAACACTTCTTAACATTGAGCAATAAACAATTCTCGTTTTGTTTATAAAAATCCAAAACATCAATAGTAAGAATCTTTAAGTCCCTCTCCGTTAGCTTTCTCTGTGAATACATCTGCCGTCTGTTAAAATCAATATAATCTTTGTTCACAGTGGCGGAGACAGGGCTCCTAAAGTTTGTAGGTTTCAATTAGTTACTTTGATTCAACTTATAAGGTTTGAACAGGCTCTTGCTAACTGTTCTTTAGAAAGTTACTACCCCGGCTCGGGTTTCAAGGTCTTCGCTTTAAAATTCTATCCACGGCTTTGGAAATTTACGAAAATGTTCGCAAAAAACCACAAGTTTGCTATGTAGTTAGTTCTAAATTATGAGTTAGGTATTATGAGACATTCTTTTAATCCTGGCTTAGAATCATCCCTGAAATCGCCATTGTAACAGCCATTTTTGAAACACACGAAAATTGCTCTCCAATTTTAGCATATTTTTTATGGCGTACAAACGGAGTACTAGGACCGGCGCTATTTGGGTACATGAAAGCGCACATTGACGGCAATTATACCGCGGTTTTTTTAGGTATTAATTGGCGACTTAAGAATGCCGTGCCTGCCACTACTCGCCCTCGAGCCATCCCGAACGCTGCTGAGGTATTCTGAAAGCTGCTGGCTCGGCATCTTTAAGCTTATCCCAGTTTTGTTCTTGTAGCTACGGCCATAGTCATTAGTATATCATTATTCGTCACATAAAAATCCCTTACCGTCATTGGGCGCTGGATCTTAATGGAGTTTTGATAGACTTTTCTTATTGTCACGCGTGGCATCCAAACATTCAGTAGCGTAATGCTTTTGGTGATACAGGATATAACTCACTGTATGACACGCGTCATTTATCATCCATTACTACTAATACGTACTTATTACGTACGGTACGAGAGCCGGCTGCGGATCAAAATCGGTGTAACAAAAATGGACACGAAACAAACAAATTTACATCATGAAATCTCCACAATCAACTCCGAAGTCCCAATCATCAGTAGTTCCAGTATCGTCATACTCAGCAAGTGCCTGTTCGTACGCAGCAGCTTCATATGCCGTGACGCCGTCGAGCATGGAGCAGGCTTGGGAAACGTTGGAGTGGTGCATGATTGGCATCGCGTGGAGAGCGAAGTCTTCGCCTTGCTGAGACCAGGTGAGACCTGGAATTAGTTGTAGAGATTCCTTTTGTAATCGAACGAAATTATGGTATATTAAAAATCCAACCAAAAAATACATAGATTCTTCTTCTCTATCTGATCTTTGAATTAAAGTATTTTTTCATTTTTTAGACAACAAGTTAGTTCCTACATAGATTTTGATACTTATTATAGATTGGAAATTACTAATACTACATTGGAAATTGTACTATTTTTTCGGATGTAGATCGCATAAATTGGGATTTTGTTTATTTTGAGGTAATTATTAAGAATGAATGAATCATTATATTTTTATTTTGATATTCTTATAATGATATTCAAAACTAGTGATGCAACGTATGTCATAACGGAAACAGACTTCAAAAGTAAATCTCAGCAGAAAGGGCCGTTTCCTTTCCCCAAGCAAAAGTGTAAAATACTTTAAAGGTCTCAACAACATCATAATTGCACACAAATCGTGTAAAAAACACGCGTCTCAACGCAAAGCCATACGCGCGCGCATCTCATCAATCTCGAACGTTGTAAACTTATCATTAACGTTCTGTTATAAAAGTTGCGGAAGCAAAAATCGAAATAGATGTGAAAAAGCATGCGGGACTTCAGCAGTCGCGGAAGCAGAGGTCTGTTGCTTCACTATTTAAAACATACCTATAGAAGTCATCAAATACAAACATTCATTGTATTTTACTTACGTCCACTCCAAACACCATTAGGTAAAGTGACCCAGCCCCACCCCTGTCCCCAGGAGAGCTCGTGGTCCAACTGGCCGGCAAGAGGAACCTGCCTCTTAATCACAGCTACCAGTCCTCGTCCATCCAGAGCCCCTGTTGCTGTTCGATTGCTCCGCGAGTACATTTCAGATGATGTCGCTGCGGAAGTTAGAACAATCTAATCTTTAATTGGGTTAAAAACCCAAAAGCCAGAAGTTTTCTTCTTAAGAATTGGTTCTGTACACAGGAGTTCTTGCAAATTATGTGCAATTTTGTTGTACCAATTGTTAATTGCAAAGGTAAACCTAGATGCAAACGGAGTAAAATCGAATCCTACCTCTTACAATAGGAAGAGCCTCTCTACGAATACCATATTCAATGTATGAGAGCATTTAATGTTAAAATTTTAGATATGTCTAGTTTTACATTTAAAAAGTTATTGATGTCGCTTTATCATTAGGTAACGTACTTTCGATATCAGTTTAAAGCTTTTTGATATCTCAACACTACCAATGTAACGAAGACGTCTGGATGGAACTACGCACAGATAAGGATAAATTTAAGCATGTAGTTGAAGAAATATACAGAATCCCGGAAACCGAAACCGAATCTAAAAGGGTGATAGAGTTCGTCCAGGGAAGTACTGCCACCTGCCTAATTCTACCACCAAGCGGTAATATCACCATTACTGCGTTCCAGTTTTGAATGGTAAGGATGCTGGTGAAATTATAACCACTTGGGACTTGTCAACTTATGTCCCAGTGTAACGGGCGCGATGGCAGTGCCCTCAGATCTTTGCGATTTAAAGCTCCGAGTGGCACTGCAACTGCGTACGGACACAGGCGTGTCTATTAGGCGTGTTTATTCTCCCATAGATAATACAAATCGAACTAAAATGTTTGAAAAAAAAACCCGTATACAGGCATGGTGTTTTGTAAAAAAAAATTTGCTCAATTTCTAAACAGAAAGTAATTAAAATCAACTATAAGAAATTCTTAATAAAAAGCATTTAAGTAGTGTATGGCTGAATTGCAATAAAATTTCTGTTTAGATAATATATTAAGCGAATGTTTTAATTTTGAACTTAAGTAACCTCCTTGTTTGAACTTGAACCTGACCTACGTAAGAAAGTATGTTGTGCAAATAATAAAAATACTCCTTTCCGACCATGGTTTAATGGAAAGAAAAAGGCACGTGGGTTTTATTTGGGACATTATAGTCAAGTTAGCCACCATGCAATCATTCCATTTACTTACGAGCAAGTGATGGAAAAAATACTAATAATACGACAACCCTATGCTCCGAAGGACGTGTAGACATTGACGCGCCCGCCGAACACCCGGGAGTTACACTACTTGTCTAATTATATACTATGCTATAAGTCAAACCCACACAATGCCACATTGCTCGAACACGTACGCCTGACACATCATTAATTAACTTGATACTCGAGCAATTTCCGTCGAAGGAGGAATTCTTTAATTGTCGAAGAAACGAACGGTTTAATTGGATTTTCTTGTTTATTACCCCGCATGAGCTTCTTGTAAATGAGTTAAAGGTAGTAAACTCAACTGTCCTTTACGAAAACTCGAAATTTATAAGAAACAGACCAAGAAATCAGATCATAAAACATTTTGTTATAATTTTGTCTTCAATATTATAATAATAACGGACTGTAAATTCGTGCAGGGATGCACTGCCACCTAACCTATTTCTGCCGCCAAGCAGTAATGTCAGCATTACTGTGTTCCGGTTTTGAAAGGTTAAGGGTGTTGGTGAAATCATAGGCACATGGGACTTGTCAACTTACGTCTCAGGGTGACGAGCGCAGTGGCAGTGCTCCTCAGATCTTTGTGATATAAAGCTTAGAGTGGCACTGCAACTGTTATAGACAGGCGTGTAGTTTACCATCAGGCGCTCGATTTGTCCATCCCATCACTTGATATTATAAAAACACATAGAGTACCACAAATTACACTCAAACCACAAGATAAATAAATCTAGACCCTACAAATATTTGTTTGTTTTGAAATTCCAGTGCAAAAATAATAAACAGTTTAATAATAATAGTTAATAATATTACTCAATCCAGATATATTTGTGTATTTGTCTATATTTAACCCATCCCGTGTTCTAGAGGCACACAGTGTCCCAAACGATTTTATACTATAGCGTTATAGAGCCACACGGCGTCTTACTTGTGTTTTCAACTACCATTAAAAAAAATTGTAAAAAGAGCCCAATTCTATTAATTTTCTTCAAACCGCTGGTCATTGTAATTCTCTATCTACGGACTCGAGAGATAGGGTTTTCCGAAGGGAGTACGGGCTCGACGGCAAGACCAGGGTACAGCAGGCGTCCGGGCCAAGACAGGGATACGCCTTTGGTCCACCAGAGGTCTCTGGTAGACCTACTCGCTGGGGGTTTTGTGGTTAGCTGCAGAGACGGATATATTTGTCTGCCCCGGTTAGGTGTGGCCGAGGCGTTTGTCTCGTGAGTAGCTAGCGCGTCTTTGTAGCAGTCTAGTTGAGGGCCTGAAGCGAGGAGACGCACGGGACACGTGAGTTGCCCTTTAAAATGGAAATTATGTCCGGATATTGTCGCAGGACGTAGCGACTGGTATCTCCGGTCCTAGCCCGGAGAGCTAGTGGAGGATAAGCTAGATATCCTCCGGTCCTTCCAGCCCCTTAGGTTATTGGGAACTGGAGAGACGTCGTTTTTCGGCGTCGAAAAGTGAGCGTGTCTTGCGGCTCCGCCAACAATGAGGAGATTTAGTTGTGGACTCAAAGTCGACGGCTTAGCGGTGGCAACTGCTAGTTGTGCAATGCATAACGGGAAGTGAGTGTGCCTACAGCTCCGGTACCTATCTGGAAAATAGGGAGGGTACTGTACGTGCACCCGGGGCAGCTCACCCGAAGCACTAGCCTTTCAAAGAACCGCATGAAGGTCTCTGACAACCCAGTATGCTGGCTGATTTGGGGTCAGAACCTGAACTTATAAGGTTCCTGTGCGCACACAGGTTATAGTGCCCTTCTCGTATACCCTCAGAGTCGGTAGGTAGGGTCACTATAATGAAAACTAATGTAGAAAGGTATGGGGCTGTCATCGTAATTACATTGAGACTCCACTGAGATTACATAGAAATCTATCTTAATTTTTATTTCATTTAAAGAGCAATTTAGTCTTCAAGTTAAATATATACAATATTAATACACACCGGCGTGCCATTGACTCAAAATTGAAGAGCAGAATACCAAAAAAATGCAATGGCAGTTGCATGCTCAATGGCTAACCACTGACAAGCCTGTACTCTTTTTTTTAAACACAAAACAATTTAGCAGAATATCAAACATTCAAAGTCCTGCCATTGACACACTACAAAGATGATTTAAATTTAGCAGATTTGGGACCCAGATACAAACAGGATTCGGCTATAGAAGCCAGATGCAAGCTAGTAGTAAATCAAAGTCAACAGTGTTGAAAGCTTTGCTAAAGTTCAGTAACGCATGGAAAGTAAATTTTTATTTGCTGTATTGAGACTTTGAGATGAATTTCGTCAATCACCTTCACCAGAGCAGAAATTGTGTTATGCCCCACACGAAAACCATACTGCAGATGAGATAATTAAAGGTGGCTAGTGAGTCTACTACGAACATAGTGCTAAAAATTATAGATAATACAGGAAGCATAAAGATAGAGCGGTAACGGAGAAAGAGGAAGAAATTCATATTTTAGAAAGCGGAATTACAAAGGCTTGTTTCCATTCAGTCAGTTCACAACACTGAAAAGGTACACATTACAATTTTGAGGCGGGATAGAAGCTTCAAACGAGGCTTGAAGAGGCATCTTGTAGGCATGTAGGCATGGAGGTGGCTAGGGCCGAGATTTTTCAACACTACACTAGGTTCCTCCAGGTTTAGTTTCCACTTTCCATTTTACATCAAGTGGAATGGAATAAAAAACCAGGTTCCATATTGGAGTGAACATGTCAAGATACCAACCGTCATCGGCAATGGCGTTTGATTGTGACATAAAGTATTTCAGTAAGTATTTCTAACACATCTGCAGTTGTAATTTTTCCAAAATCAAAAGAAGCTGCAGACAAGGCGCACTCGCCAGGACAAATGTTTTGACTAGAGACATGTTGGGCCACTTATAGATTCTAGATATAATTGTCAGTCAATTGCTAGCTAACTTTACTGATTTATTCGAAGTGAAAACATCGGCAACTCAATTCCAATCTTGATTTAGATTAAGTACACTACAAACTCCTCCAGACCTTTCGGCTTCTACTTGGAAACTAGTGTATGTTTACCTCTGGTATTTTGTTGGCATCTCTGGCATCCTACTTATACAGTCTAGACTCTTAGCGGTTTGTTGTGCTGGGTTATTTTAGAAATGTGACAAACATTTTCCCCTCTCTCTATTTAAAAAGTATAAAGTAAATTGTTTGGAGAGGCACTACCCATTTATTTATATGCGTAAGGATCATGAGCATCATGTACCGTCACATCTCATGCGGCTTGGAAAATTCATAAGTCTCGAAACGTTTTGTACTTCTACGCCTACGTATAACCAAGTTTAATCTTGTAGTTTTCCTTGACTGTCTATAATTTTTTTATGATGCTAAGTGACGAACGAACAAGTCATGCGTCTGGTTTTAACCGACAAGCCTGTCCATAGCAGTGACATAAAGATTTCATTCTTTTTTTGTTGGAAAGAGGGTACCTACCTCAGTGTTGGTCCCATTTAAATTTGAAGAAAATATTCCACCTCTAAGTGTAGCAAACTAGGGGATGAATCCGGTTTCGTGCACTTTCCGGTAATCGAAATCAATAAAACTTGACAAACAGAGAGAACAGACAGACAGTAATTCCACGAACTTTTCGGTCTGTTTTTTTAAAAAAATAATACAATTATTGAACACCGAGCTTTTATTCTACAAGCGCGAGTGGCTACCCGCGCTATGCAACGCGACTGCACCACTAGATTATGCAAATGTGTGCCGTCCGTATACGGAGCATGGTGGCCGTGTATGTGTATACAAGCCGCGCTGCTCGTTTGTATGACGTTACACTACTAAACTTGCCATTATCTTTATATTGTTTCTATGTTAGTAACAATTAGTGGAAAATGTCAGCTTTTGAAAGTTGAGTAAG